AAGCCGAATTGGCTACCACTTTTATTATACCATTAGCACATTTTTTTTCACTAAAATATAAATGTAAATGAACTGCGTATGTACATTGTACAACAATATACCATGTGTATGATAAGTATATTTATTTAGAACTGAAAACTAATAGAAAAATTATTTGATATTTTAAGTATGTCAATAAATGAATAAAAATTACACATTTTATGCATAATGTAGTATACAATGTCGTTATTTATAATTCATAAACATCTTCAATAACTTCCTTATTTATACTTATATTAAGACGAATGTAAAAAAAATTATATACATTTTTGTAGACATGCAACGTATACATTTTACTAATATTTAGATTTTAAATACATACGCATTGTTACTGTTTTTAATTATCATTTTCTTTTCCAAATCCAATCCACTCTTTGTTAATTATACTACTCATTATATTATTTCTCATTATACTATATTTTAATTTTCAATTAATATAAAAATAATTGTTTGAAATAAATTTAGACCGATTAAAAACACTTAATTTATATTCATAAATGTAATATTTTACATAAAATAAATAGAATATAAATAAGTAGATAATTACAATAAACGAATGCAACTGGATTACGATGTTCCAAAGACGAAAAAAGGATAGTTTACCATTATTGTTTTTTTTTTTTGTGTGCTAATAATTGTTATAGAATAAATACATTAGTCAAAGTTTGTTTATAGAGTTAGTACAAAAAAATATTAAAATGGAACTATTTGCAAGTTATTTTGTTATTTGTAAGCAATTTGGAAATTTGAGATCATTCAAGCATTAAAAATAGTTAATATCTTTATTTTCAATCTATATAAATTTTGAGGTGAATAATACAATAAATGTGAGTATTTAAAATTAGGTACAATGAATATTCAAAAATAGTATAGTAATAAAACTATTTACGCACCGAAGGATATGAGGATAAGTACTTGAAAAAGATTAGTTTGTTGTAGCTAGTTTGACAAAGAGCCAGAAAACCCAACACGTTTGAAATATTTAATTTTATAAAGATGGCTATATTACTTTCCTTCCGGAATTCACATAGAAAGCCATAATAGAACTTCATTGTTACCGTAAACGTAGCATATTACACTTTTATAATTTTACGCTGGCCCTATTAAACAAGCACGTGCCTAAAATTATTAATATCTATACTTTCAGTTTACTCGTATTATTATTTAAACTAACTTTAATCCTGATTGTTTTATTTTACCTCATTAGATATATTTTTTATACTTAATTCTATTGTATTTTTCTTTATTATTTCATTTATCGACGTATTATATATACATGAATAATAATTATCTAGTAACTACATCCACCCACAACTTATAAAAGCCATAATATTATTATATTTCCATATAGTACGTTGTATAGTTTATAGGTACCTATATAATTATGCACAGTGGCGTGGTGATGTAGGTTATCGTGAGGCGACCGGCTCACAGTTTTTAGGGGGGGGGGGGTGGATATCGACAAAATATACTTGCCTCTGAAAATTTTTGAGTTCGCCACGCCACTGCATATGCAGGTACCTACATTGATATATTTTCCTCTGGATGTTTTATTTTTTTTACATGTATAATAGTTTTTAATTATCTTAACTATAAACAGTACACATATAAACAAGCAGCTTTTACATAGATTTAGTAATAAATAAATAATTTCATAGTATCGAACAATTAATAAATAAGTAAAGCTGATAAACACAATTTACTATTAATATGATTATTAGTATAATATTACATGTAGCCATGCATGATAGTATTTTTTTTCGAAAAAGCTTAAATTTAACAAAAAATAAAATATATTTATGATTGTGTATACTGTATAATTTTACTACTTTTTTTGCGTATTGCTTATATAACTGCGTAGAAACTAGACCAAATATGATTTTTTTATTATTAAAAATTTTTTTATTAAAATTAGATTTTTAAACTCAGGCATAAGTATAAAATACAAATGTATTTATTTTTAATTTCTATGTTATGCATTCATGAATTCTGACTGTTCCCAATGTTCGTTAGATAATATTACAATTGAAATAATTTTTCTTTCATCAATTTTATATTAAATACTAATTATTTTCGATAAGGAAAATTACATTAAAGAATATAAACTAAATTATAATGAGAAATGAACCCAGTTTTACTCATAATTGTTTTTTGAACGTGATATTATAGATATGATGGTTTTCAGATTCATTATACAGTGCATTAATTAGACGAGATCTGATCAAATGTAAAAATCTAATCAATATATTTCTATTTAACGCAATCAAGTTTATTATTTAAAACACTTTTCTTCTTCCTTCTGCCATGAAAGTAATTTAAGTTTATTCCAAGTTTTATATGCATTTATATTTGATCATATACTTATCTGTAATGTTATGTTGCAACGTTTTATTTCATTATTCACTAACTTAAAATTGATAAAATATTTTACAGATATATTAATTAACATATACTAGTGAGTGAGAACATTAAAATATATTAAATTGGATAGTATTACAACCCGTAACGGAAAGTGCATTTATAAAATCTAATATTTTAGGATCATTCATTCACTTTCAAAATTTTTTTTACTACTTTTGGGTAATATTATCATATAAAAATATGTAGCATTAAAAAATGATATCAGCGATCAAACAATTGTTGTTAGTTAATTTGAAAATATTATTGATAATATTTTAATTTTTATTCGACAATGTTATGCAATCATATATGTGTTTCTAATTTCAATCATGAATATATATTTGGTCCTGAACAATTTAGTCATTAGGTGTAATTTTTTAAGTTTATAATACCAATACGTAGATAGCTAGTAAGCATAGAAATAATATTTTATTTTGTGTCACCGTGAAATATCCGTTTATACTACTGTCTAAGATACATTTAAATTTAAATAACATTAATATTAAGAAAAAATCTTTTTATGAAATAAATCAGACTATCAAAAGTGTATGTTTATGATTTAAAAAAAAAATGTTACTTATAACAAATTCTTTTTACCTTATAAAGCTAAAAAATAGTAAAAATATTTAAAATATTTTAACTAAGTAAGCAGAATGCATTCATTCAAAGTGTATATTTTACCAAATGTAATTAATACCTATAACCAAACATGATACTCATGTAAATATAGTTTTAAGTAATCACTTATTCTTCATGCATTCAAAAGTAAACGATGATTTCTCGTAAGCTTCAACTACACTTTCCTATCTTATTCCCAAATTTTGTCCCATTATGCTTTGATTAACCGTTGACATTTTAGAAAAATCATGAAATAAAAAAAAATATATTGTAGATAATAGTAAAATTAAAGTAATTGTTTTAATGTTATACTATTGTCTTATGCACTTATAGTTAATATTATCATGACCATGATGCACATACGGTGTATTGTAAAGTATATACATAATTCAAAACAATTATTGTAGTTCACTCATACTGATACAGTACCTATATACACATAAATTATATATTAGTCCAACTTCATCGTCAAAATTATCCATTGTTTTTTAATCTATAGTAGTTTTGGAAATAAAAGAAGAAGATGAGGGATAATTGTTATTTTTTAAATTCTAAATGAAGCTGTAAAGTTTTTTTGTTAACACATTTTTGGGTAACAAAACATTTGTAGTAATTCATGAGTATAAAACTTTAACAATGCGCAAATCAGGTTACAATATTTTCATGTTTATATTTACTATAAAAAATACAACACAAAAAAAAAACAAGGGGTGTATTTACTATTTACTATTCACGTGTAGGCACAGCAAACAACAGTGATGATACGGAAACAAATTTCAAGTCGCAGTAAAATTTCGATAATACAATTCAGTTGTTGTGTGCCATTCTTTGAACTCGAATGATAAAATATTGTAATAAATAATTACACGATATGAGAAAATATCGAATGCATTGTGAACACCAACTGCAAAGGCTAAAATAATGAGTACACCATTCCTATTTCATTTTAAAATCAATAATCATATTAAAAACTAAAAACGAATAAATATATTCGTTACTGTAATATTATGATGAAATTATTATGTGTTCTATTATTAAAAATATACATATATTTTACATATTTCATTGAACACGCGTATTATTCTAATCATATATAAATATGTTATTTAATATTAGGATTGGCAGTGGTGGGTCTATGTGAGGTATATGGTTTCAAATAATAGAAATTTGTGATGTACCTAACAAACTACAATGCACCTTGTTAATCAAATTATTACACTACAGTATTTTTTAATCATCGATTATACACACGTTTAAAACTTTCGTCGACAACGAACGAAATATTATTAGTGCTATACGTGCAAGTATTGTTTAAGGTGCACATGGTATAGATTCACCGCGCGTATGCACCACTGGTTTCGATTTTACTAATAATTAATACATCCGCCATCATATTATCATCTCGCACAGAGTTCACTGACGCGATTTACAGCGCCGGAAGTAAATTTCATTCCAAACGATAAACGCTACCATAATGGGCCATTATACATAAAATATGTATACAGGGTGATTATTTATTTTAACGTAAAACGCTAGACGAATCAATCATCAATTAGGTATTCATCAGTGTTTTATACTTTAGTTTGGTTGAATGCAGCAGTTATTCAGTGCTCCGACGTTTTCCGGAAGTGCCCTACCCTGTCATTCCACTACACTCGTCTAAACTAAAAAACATGCACTTATAAATAATTATAAAACTAATGGTTCCAAATTTCACAATTTTCACTCAACTGCGTTTTGAAACAATTGCTATTATTAACTTTTTTAAGTTTTATGTATGTATGAATAAGTACATGTATAAGTCAAAAAACTAAAGATTGACCGTGAAAATCACTCTGTACATGTTACAGCACAGAAAAGAGATAAATAGGTGCGTATGTGTTTGTGTGTTTGTGTGTGTGTGTGTGTGTGTGTGTGTGTGTGTGTGTGTGCATCTGCTGAAGCACGGACAAGGAAGGTGCATCTCACTAACTTCAGCTATTTCCAGTGAACGCACATGTGTTCAACATTTGTTCTCGGCCGACGACACGCGAGTTTTTAACCCCAGCTGATCGAGTCGAGTATTTTTCGTAGTGACGTGTATTGCTGTGTTAAAACACGAGAGCAGTCAGCCTCCACTGTCGGGCAGACGAAACTTCGAAAACGCCGTTGAACTATGGACGCCTTTCCGATAATTCTATCGCTGTTGTTATTCACTGCGAGTAAGTACGATATTATTATTTTGAATTTTTAAAAAACACGATATTTTTTCGCTGGTGAGTATTTATTTAAAATATTTTAGTTCTTCAATTGTATTATAATATTACTGTTTATAATCACCGTAACCGATTTTTACCAGGTGGTGGGGGGGGGTCGATAATATGAGTATCTCCTTGTTATACCTCGGCAATTATTGATGGAAATCTATTGATTTCTAAAACTTACTTTTTTTTTTTTAATGAGCGCTATATACGTAAATATTTTGTACGTAAATTTACGAATTAAATTATACATAAACATATGAACAAAATACTCCAAAATCGTATCACTATGTATGTGTTATTTATAATTTGTATTGTGTGTTGAAAATATTACGATTATGACCACAGATAAAAAATGTTCAGTTTTGGTAATATTTGACAAGTGATGAAATCAATTGATTTTTCAGAAATACTTATTATGGCGGAATCAATATATCTTGCAAACTTATAAAAAAATAAAAATAAATTTAAGAAGTGTGATGGAATCTATAAAATCACAAATTATTACCGTAGTAGTTGCCTATTATAGTGACGAAATAGATGTATTTAGAAGTTACTATATATAACTAATATATTTATTACCCATACAGTAAATATAGTTGCAACGAAGACGTTCGTGATTCAAAATGCTTGATAATAATCGTTATTTGTTTTCTAAAGTTTCGGTTTCAGTCGTCGTGCCAATGTATAATTGTTCGTTATTATTATTGTCACATGGACTCGACTAATAATAATAGGTTTGAAGTACGTATACGGTATATACACTAGTAGCTTGTGAGTATATAGGTCCGAGAGCCGAGACTTATAATAATGCAAAATACCTTAAGAATATGGTCAATTAATTCATAAAAATAATAAAGCTCGTGAGACCGCATCAGACAGACCTTTTTTTTATATATGGCGTTTGTATATCGATGAAATACAAACTTTATTAAACATTAAATTAACAAAATATAAATAATTTATAAAAACTTAGGTATAGATAGTCTCATATACAATTTACAATATACTAATAGGTTTATAAGTTTAACAATAACAAAAATAATAACAGTGCGTAATATATTTAAAGGCGAACGAGAGTCTTTGACAGCCAATCGATTGCTTCGTCGTCGCCTTTTTGAAGTCCCTCAAGACAGACCGTTGATAGGTTAATGCAGTGGTTCTCAACCGATGTGCCGCGACACACTACTGTGCTGCGAGATCAACGAGGTGTACCACGAAAAATGTCTCATATAAAAATATTGAAAACAGAATGTTTCTTTACATTTATTTATCTGTACAGATAAATCATACGTTTGTAGATTAAAATTATTTAATTTTAGAACTGTATAGTTGGATGAATATAAATTGAAAATACCGATTGATAAAACTGGATATTTTAGCGCATAGCCAAATTGTTTGGTGTCAAGTGCATGAGTGTCATAGACGTAGGGTGATCAAATATATTGGGGGGGCTGCAAAAAGAACAATAATAATAATAAAAAAAAAAAAAAAACACTAAACTAAATGAAAATAAGACTACTCGACGAAATGAGCAAAAATAATACAAATAATTCTGGAGGGCTAATATTCGCACTGGTGGGAGGGCTAAGCCCCCCCTAGATACGCCTATGATGAGTATACCGCGAAAACTTGTGATGTATAATAGTGTTCCGTAAACAAAAAAAGGTTGAGAACCACTGGGTTAATACAATACGATGATCGTAATATTATTGATCATAGAATATACTAGAATAGTTCATAAAATATTACACTGGAATTCTTCAACCATGCACTTAAAACTAAAAAAAAAAAATTTTAAATATTGTACAATAATCGTTTGAAACTATCCACATTTAAGCACTTGATGAATTAATCACTTATATTTAATTGCTTTTTTAGGTTACATACAAATTAACATACTCTAATGTAGGTATACTTTACTATTCGTGTTTCTTGGCCCATTGAATTTATTTATAAACGACAAGTTTTAATTTCTAACCAATAATTATTTAAAAAATCATTATGCATATAAAAATCATGAACATGAGCCGCGCATCAATATAGAGACTGCTCTTAAGACATACAAGGCTCTAGGGAAAATATTATTGTGAGGCTCTCTAGTGCTCATATTCAATCTAAATATTTAAATATTAATAAAACGTTTTTTTATGATTAATAGTTATATTTTTTTAATTTTTCAATAATATACAATTTCAAAATTATTTTGATTATACATTGATTTAAATCATTAATATATTATTAATCATTTAATTTTTGTAGACTTTTTAAGAAAACTTTTTTAAAAAATTCAAATCGAAGTACTTCAAATACATAGAAACAAGTTAATGTACTTAATTATTACTCTATTGTTTGTACATAATTGTCTATCAAGCAGTTAACAAAACAGATATGGTGTTATTCATATATTATAGTTCTTAAGTTCTGAATCCTCCAGCGGATTACATATAAATTTAACGCAATATTATGATACATCGGTCGCACCAATTCCATAATGTGTTTGTGAAAAAATAAAATTAATTTAACATCTTCAATATTGTTACGGGTACTAGCCGGTACACCCCGACCGATATGCTACAACAATATAGTTTTGAATACACGAATCATTATTGATATATATGACAAGGACAATATTATTCATTCCACACTCGTTTCTACTCTTGTTTACCCGCTTCATAGTAAAGGTGTTTGTGCATTCGGCGACATTGACCGGTTCGATATATTGGTACGCGTCATTAGGTGTGGAGGATAAATCTCCACCACCAACTGTCCAACAATATGATTTATAGTAAAACTTGATCATTTATTTTCTTTTCGCTTTATAACACTGCTTTCATTGCACGTGCATTCATTATTTACATTAAATTACGACAATATTATGTATTTAAGGCACATTGTTGCTGCAGCAAAGTGCATAATGTATACACGTAAATCTACTTATCGTTCGTTGTTTATTTCTGTAGTGCATGTACTATTATGTTGAAGGATGTGATTGATTAATAATTTCACAACATATATGTGTAAATGTATTTGTACGCCGGTAAAATTACTTGAGTTTTTTTTTCTTAGCACGTTTTCTCTTGTCATAACATACGTCACATAGGTATTGTATATACGAGTACTTCAAACATCAAAGATTTGTATACATAGATTTTGAAATACTTTGTATGGAACAAAGGACTTTTATTCGAATCATTTAATAATTACCTATCTGCTTACCTATGTAAGCGCGTGCATTACACATAATATGTATGACTATGGTATTTCTATATTGTGTTAATTAAATAATAGGCATCGTATAAATTCAATAAAAACTATTTTTTCGTTGTAATTAATAGTTGTGTTCTACTTTTAAGTAATATTAAAAAAATATTAAAGAAAATACGTTACCGTCTGTAACGTACCTCTATAGGAACCAATTAATATTCATCGCATTAACCGTTTATAAAATCGTGTTAAAAATGAAATGATTGTTATTTACATATTTAAAACATACTTAATCACATTACTGCAGTTGTACTCCTTTACAATTTACATTGATGTATGTACAGCCAATTTAAATAAATTGATAATTAGAAAATTAATTAGAAATCAGAATATTAATCAAACAGTCGGTATTTTGCGTATACACATCAATTAATTAAAATCACTTATTTTCATTTTATTTTTACCGCACGAACTTATCAAGTTGCCGGAAATTTTTTAAATTAAGTAGAACAATGATGACACAAATTTAAAAATAAATTATAATGAACTGAACAATGGCACTGGAATTATTAATGAAGTTATTAAAAACCAAATAGTTAGTGTGGGAACTCTTTGTAAAACCTCTTTGTAAAAATATTTTGTAAAATCGTCAAAAACTTGGTTTTAATGACGAGGAACACTTTCGACTATCACTATTCATAGAGCAATTACTATCCCTTTCGGCGCTCCAGTAATATGGCATTATTATAATAATGTGAGCAATACGTATTGTCCATCGAAAATGTTTAAGTGTAGCATCCAATTTGATCTCAAAATATTATTTAATTATAGCAGGATAACGAGTTGTAAAAAATGAATGTCAGATGCAAGAACTCTTTTTTATAGTTAAGAAACCCTGAACGTAAATGGCACGTGTAAGCATTTTAGGTTAGATTATAAGGCATAAGAATGTTATGTATGCATATATATATACGTATATATTAACTGCATAGCTATATTTTTTCTTTGTTCGTGAACATTACAGTTGTGTAGGGCTGGTCATACATAAACCACCTCAATTACCGTACTGCAAACAAACTAAGAAAACTGATAGTAGGGAGTGTACTATATACTCGAGTCCTGAAATATTTTTCCAAATGCATACGATTGTTAAATTAGAAGAGAGGTGAATATAAATAAAACAAGATGTCATATTTGAAATTTCCATAACTTAAATATGGGATTTGTAACTGAATATATTTTGATTGTTGGATTAAATCCATATAGCCCCTGCAGATAATCATAAATTCACTTATTTATTAAAAAGTATATACATAATATTAATAAATTAATAATGTAATAGTACTTTAAAATGGTAGTACAGGTATATAATCGGTTTTTCTTCTGTATTTCTGCAGTTGTGCCCATGTTCGAAGGCTGCGATCAAACCAGACAAGGTTGCAGAATACAAGAAGGAAAATGTTTGTGCGGTATAGGTTGTTACTCGGAGTACAGATACAGCAACTACGACGAATGCCATAAAGCGTTGAAAGGTAAAAAAATGACATCATGGTGCAGTACCGAACGGATATGTTACTCGTGAACTTAAACACGACTTATCTATGTCTGAAACATCTTGAGCCATGCCTTGAACATTTATCTCTACGCTTCTGTTCTCGAATACTTTAGAGCTCAAATTCTATATAATGCTTCCAAGGTCCCTAATTACGTTCACGGTTTCATTGTGAAGGCGATTACTGGAATCATGTGATTCTAATAATAGTGATGGTCGATATAACAATATGATGTTCCCAGGTCGCCGATACGATTTTTGTGCACAAGGTCCGTGTAACCATAACGGCGTGTGCGTACAGACATCCCAGGAACCCGGATACAAATGCAGATGCTCCGGCACAGGATATTATGGCGCTAGATGCGAGATCAGTAAGAAATACATTAAATATGAAATTATATACATGTACACATATCCGGTTGCGGCGAAATGTGTGTTTTTTTTTAAGCAGAGCTTTTCATGACCAAGATGAGTGGGTGGGTGGTATAATGGGACAAAAGTTGTACACGACATTTAAATTATACATTCGTTATTTATTAATATATTATAGCCAATTTAAATTAAATCAAGGAGACTGTATTATTTTGATTTTATTTTATATTTATAAACGAATAAATACCCTATGAAACAATATGAGGAAAAGTACTAATTATAACAAATAATAAAATTTGTATAGCGACAAACTTACTTACGTATAAAATAATACATATAAATAATTATTATAATATAATTAACGAGAGCTTAAAACCATTCCTAATAAAGTTGGTAATCCGATTCGGTAGGAGCCGAAAATTTTTTAAAACCGGTAACCGGTTATCGTTTAATTTTGATATTATGGTAATCGGTAACCGTTTCTTTAAGGTTATTACATAAACTATAATAACCGTTAATTGTTTAAAAGCCGTTTAAGAGTTTAAGCAGTTTAAGCCGTTTAAGCAGGTTTTTTGATGATCAGTTATTGGTTAAAACCGGTTTTTAAAAATCATATTTTTCAATTTCTTAACCATATTTTTAAAACCGTTTATTTAGGCGATTCGTGGGTTGATAATATAACTTTTATTATTACAAAATCAAAAACTTAATATGCTTTAATTTGGTCAATTTCACTAAATTTCAATATTTATTTTTTCAAACTGCTTTAAAGTTTAAAACATATTATGATCAAAATAATGATAATCAAAAAACTAAATTGCATAAAAAATTGTTATTGTTATAATTTTCTTATTTATGACGGTAAAAAACCGAAATTAAATATAATAATTTTCTAAAATGACACTAAGGTTGATACAATGCCACAGAACTTTTTGATTATCTTATATATGATACAGTATCCCAAAAAATGCAGATATTAAAACGACAGTATTAAAATATCATAAATACTAAATGGACTAAGCTCTATTCCACAAACTATTTCGTAATAGGAATCAGCACACCATGACGACGATGACATTTATGACGGTATTTATAATGTATAGTTATACATATATATATATATATATATATATGATATTCACAACAGATAAGCAATACTCGACGGCCATTAATTGCTATTTGGGACTAATTAACTATAAAAAATATTTAAAAATAGCTGGAGAATTAAATTCTATAAACTATAATAGTATAATGTAATCATGATATAATTCAAGTATTAATACCGCTAAAAAACCGTTAATTATTTTGGTCGGGAATAGGTTTTGGTTATAAAACCGGGATTGAAAAGACAAGGTAATCGCTTTGATGTTAATATTTAGATATTTACCTTGATTACCGATAGCCAATAACCGCTTCCAGCATTCCAAAACTAAAAGCGGTTATCGATTTTCGGTTCTCAAATTTACGGTTTTTTACCGGCTTTCGTTACAAACCGGTTACCGGTTATAAGCCCCATAATTAACTATTAATATCAAGACGTAAAAAATATATCATGGCATGGGGAAAGTGGCGTGCCCATCGCCCAACACATCAAAAATGTACTGCAATGGCCCCACACTAACTTTAACTAATTGGTATGGACTGGCCTTCCAGGTTGGGGGTTGAGCTTAGGGTTGACAACCCTACCTCTTAAAAAAACAACATCTTAAGCCTCGGATCAAAGATTTAACGGATATAAACATTGAAACTTGGAACGTGCAATCTCTGTATAAGGCTGGAACTTTGACAACATCCATATCGTGTCTTGAGCGATATAGAATGGACATTACTGTGATTCAAGAAGTGAGATGGACAAGCTCAGGCAGCTTGAAAACTCATGAAAAGACATCATTATACAGTAGTGCAGACAAACATGAATGTGAGGTAGGCTTTGTAATAAGGGACAATATTATACCAAATATAGTGAGGTTCAAACCAATAAGTAATCGGTTATGCTATAAAGAACTCAAATGCAAATGGTACAACATATTCCTAATTAACTGCTATACACCAACAGATGAAAATAGCGATGACATAAAAAAAAAAATTCTAAGAAGATCTGGACCTGTTATGCCTGTTGACCTCTACCGGGTGACAAACCAAAAATAATACTAGGAGAGTTCAATGCTAATATTGGAAAGGAAAATCTCTATAAACCAACAATTGGTTCCGAAAGCCTATACGAAACTACGAATGACAATGGAAACAAACATCACTTTCGCCACAGCTAGAAACATGATAATAAGTAACACGTACTTTCTTCACAAGAATATACACAAACAAACATGGATCTCCCCTTGTGGGTTAATAAGAAACCAAATAAATCACATGTTAGTGGACAATCAGATAAAATCGTGCATCAATGTCATAAAAAGTATGCAAGGAAGTAGTGCATTGTCTAACCTTGTAAAATCAAAATATCAACAAAATGGAGGAAGAAGAATAAGTACAAAGAAAAAATCAACAAGGATGTACTAAAGACTACAACAGCTAAGGTATATAAAGAAAAAATAATGTTGGAATTAAGAAACATACAAGAAAAGGTCGATTTGAATGAAACGTGGGATAAAATAGAGCAATTAATCAAAAGAACAGCAAAATAAGTGCTTGGATATATACCAAAAAAGGCAAAGATAACATGATTCAACGAGGAGTGTAAGGTTGCTCAAGAGGAAAAAAATTAAGCACGAACAAAAGTTTTGCAGAACCCTAATGAAGATAATAAAAGACTACTAGCACAAAAGCAAAGGTTTCCAAAAAAGGTAATCAGAAGGAATAAAAGATTATAGGAAAAAGAACGGATACACACTATAGAAAATAACAGGAGTAGCAACTCTAAAATATTTTCGCAAAAGTACATGAAGTGAAACATGGATTTAAAACTAGACCATCTGTAATGAAGAAAAAGGACGGTTCCTTATTAACAGAGAGGAAAGAAATTACTTGTGAATTTAAAGACATGTTCGAAAAATTGTTGAACCAACCAAATGTAAAAATTACCACACTTGAATACGTTACTATATATCAGCTGCTTGAAAAACCATTAGAAGAAGTGGAGATAGGACTAGATATGTTAAAAAATGGAAAAGCACCGAGAGATGATGAAATAGTATCTGAATATGTCTAAAAAAGGGAGGCTAAGGCTTGCTAAACCGTTTCCATAAACTTATGAACACAATCTGGGAACATGAAGAGATACCAAAAGCATGGCGTATTTCCATTATATGCCCTATACACAAAAAAGGAGACATTATGAAGACTGAAAACTATAGAGGAATCTCATTACTTAATACATAATATAAACTATTGTCTCACATACTACTTACCAGTATCAACCCGTATATTCAAGAAATAATTGGAAAATATTAAGCTGGATTTATGAAAGGAAAATCAACAATAAACAAAATACAAAATAAGACACAAATACACATAGTTAAACAGGTTGTTGAGAAAAGTCACGAATTCAATAAAGATATACATCTACTATTTATAAACTTCAAAGTGACATACGACTCAATCAATTGAAAAAAACTATGGGAAGTCATGGGCCAGCTAGAAATACCAGCTAAGTTAACTAGACTAATGAAAGCGTGTTCGTATAATTCAAAAAGTAGAATCAGTTTTGGAGGAGTTCTATCGGAAGACTTTTCGGTAACGACTGGTCTAAGACAAGGGGATGCTTTATCACCTGCGTTGTTCAACATCGCCCTAGAATCAGTTATGAGGATAATTATGTTCCAAGCCAAGGGCATAAAAATAAAAGACAATCATCATCTAACAGCAGTTGCTTATGCGGATGATATAATCTTATTAGCCGAAACAGAGAATAACCTAAAAAACACAGCAGATATACTGATGAAGGGGGAGAAAGATTGGCTTGAAAATGAATGAGACAAAGACAAAGTACATGATAGTGTCTAGATAAAATTACAGAAAAGACTCCTTAAAGGTAAAATGACCACACTTTTGAAAGGGTAAGAAATTTTAAATACTTAGATGCAGATATTAATGAAGATGCGAATAGCCACGAGGAAGTTAAAAGACGACTTATCGCAGCACACAGGTATTATTATGGACTGCTACCATTATCCAAGTCATAACTATTATCAAGAAAATCCAAAATAACGTTACATAAAGTCCTAGTTAAACCAATAGCTTTATATGCAACCAGTACCTGGGCGACAACAAAAGCTGATGAAAAAAAGTTAGAAGTATTTGAAAGAAAGATATTGAGGAAGATTTTCGACCCAGAGAAAAACAATGAAGATTATGAAGTATGAAGCATAAGCAAAGTATAACGAACCTAGAATTGTTGGGACCCTGAAAAGCGAGCGAATAGAATGGGCCGCACATGTATGACGATAAAAAGGTCTTATTGGACAAATAACTACCTGGAAACCAAACACAAAGCGATCCAAACAAAGATGGATAGATAGAATAAAAGAAGACTTGAAGATACTAGGAGTATAAAATGGGGAAAAAACAGCAAAAGATAGAGAGAAATGAAGGCAAGTAGTTGTTGTGGCAATGGACCTGAAAGGCCTGTAGAAAGCCAAAGAAGAAGAAGAGTTAATATCAAGACTTGAGGCTATATATCAGTGGCGTGCGGTAATATTTTATCTTGGGTAAGCGCTAAAATAAAATTTCAAATTAAAACAAAAAAAAAGGTATTTTATTAATAAAAAATAAAAATTACAATCTAAAATTTATTTATAGATGAAATCCATTCGCCTTTCATGTTTTAAAAATTCGTTAATAACTTTATCATAAAATTCTGGATGATTTTTTTCTTTGTGCAGGAGTTCCTTTTCGATTGAAATTAATGATAATGAACTAAGTCTTTCTTGCCCTTGTGTAGATCTTTGATACGATTTGATTCGTTTTAATACCGAAAAAGAACGTTCAACTGAACCTGTTGTACTAGGAATAGTTAAAATTAATTGACTGAGTTTAAATACTTCTTGGAACGTCGATATTAAATAATTTATCTTAATTTTTTTGACTAAATCATATGGATTAATATTTAAAAATTCTTCAGATGTGTATAATACAATTAATTCGTTTCGTAATCTAATAAAATCAAATATTTCTCCGAAAATTGACTCTCGCAAGTTTTCTAGAGCAGAGTTTTGAAATTCGTTACATTACTTGAGTCAACTAATGACAAAAATTCAAATTTATTTAAAGAACCAAATCGCGCTTGCAAATTTGTCAATATGATATCAATTATTTCATTAAAAAGTACTTTGTAAAATGTTTTCTGGTCACGAATTTTACGCTGTAGCTCAAAATCGCCTTTAATAAAACTGTTTCCCATAATTTTTCAAATAGATTTAACCAATAATTTTGTAGTTGACATTTAGTTTCTTCAATTTTTTTCTCACGATATAAAATATCTAAACGTTTAGTTTGTAACACTTCATATAAAATATCAGTCAAACTAAATATTATACTAAATACTATTAGCAAAAAATATGTTTGTCGACTATCCAAAAAATTGATGAACCCTTGAGATAATACTATCGCTTCATTACCCCAATCATTGGAATTATCTAATACGTGTTGAAATATGAATTGTATTCATGAACCGTATTTACTAAGCTAGAAGAAAAATTCCATCTAGTCGGCGCATTTTTTGGCATTTTTTTTCTTGTAAAATTAAATAAAACATGTGTACGTTTAGAAGATTTAGTAAAAAATGATGCCATACCAGTTAGTGTTTGAAAAAAAATCTTACAGTCTTTTATATTTGATGCTGATTGTGAAAATACAAGATTTAATGAATGACTAAAACAATGGACAAATAATGCTTTTGGGTAGAGCTCCTTTACTTTAACTTGTAGTCCTCCAACATGACCACTCATAACGGCCGCTCCGTCTTAAGTTTGAGCTACTAATTTATGTTTTAATTCATACCTATTAACTATATCAACTACGTGTTTTAATAAACCGTCTGCTGCTCTATCAGCATTAACGTCGACAAATGAGGTAAAACGTTCACGTGCTTCCCCAGTTTCATGCTGGACATACCTTAAAGTTGTTGATACTTGAGACAGATTTGTTATGTCTGAAGTTTCATCTAATAATATTGCAACAAAATTAGAATTTTTTATTTCTGATTCAATGGACGTTGATATGATGTTGCTAATTGAGCAAATAAGATCATTTTGAATTCTATTGGATGTACCACGGAATATTTTTGATGTTTCTAAATGCACGTTTAAAATAGAATCATAAAATGATAATAAATTTAAACAACCGAGGAAATTTCCTTGATTGAAAGAATCAACTCTTTCATTGTGACCATTAAATGGTAATTCATGGATCACCAAAAAACAAACACAATCAATAAAACGTTTTAAAACGTCTCTATTTTTTTTTACCAATTCATTATAGCGTATTACATCTAAACGTTTTTGTTCATCAAGCTGCAAATTAATTCTAGATTTTCCAAACTTTTTTCATTTTAAAACTGAAGAAATATGTGTTTGAGATCTTTCATGTTTTTGAATACCATTTATTAAATTATTGAAATTAACAAAACCACTATGAGACCAAACATTTTTTTCCCTGGTGAATAAAACACAAGGCCAATAGAAAATTTTATTTAATTTTGCACTACCAGCCAACCATAAAGTATTAAAATAATTAGAAATATTAAAATAACAAATGTAAACTTTGTTTTTTTCTTTAAGATAAGATGTCAATTTTGGAATTTTTGGACATGGTCGACCATTTTTTACAATTGTTAATTTTTCATCAACATTTTTTAAATTAAATTCATTTTCCAAAAGATGCTTGATTAAGCAATTGTTTGAATAAGTATTCATTATCTATAAAAACTAATATAAACAACGAATATAATTTGATTCCTCTTAATTATAATAATTTTATTTATTTAAATATTAATTATCTATACTAATTCCATAAAATTATGCAATAGGAATTTAATATACTTACATTAAAAATTTTTGTTCAACAAAATTTAACTATGAAGACTTGTGGACACGTTGACGGTTGACGGTTGACGACAAAATAATTTATTTATCATAAGTATAGTATAGTATAATATAAGTAGTATAGTTATAACTTATAATATGTATATTGAAAACAAAAATAATCCGATATGCATTGTAAGAATATTGGAATTTCGTTTTTAAAAATATCGATAAGCGCTCGGCATAGCGCTTTCATTCATCACGTAAAAACGTGTATATCCCCTTCTACCACAACTGGTCATTCCTATAAATAACTATATAAGAAAGGCAATCTAAAATACTAACGCTTCTGTAGAGAAATTGCCTATAAAAAAAAAAAATCATTTAATTTTTTTCAAAATCTGATACATTTTTTTAAATTGAACACAAAAATAAGAATTAATAAATATTTGTAATTTTAATGTTTTAATGTAAATAAATTTAACATTTAACATTTAACATCAGAAATATTAATCTTTTTATTTTTTCCTTTTTGGCTGGGCATGCGCCGCTTACCTAGCTTGTCCTGACCGCACGCCACTGCTATATATAAGTCAAAATCAACATAATTAACAATTGTGTTTTGCTAATGAAAGAACTCTGGGAAAAAATCTAGTGGAACTATAGTTATTAAAATAAAAAGGAACATGAAACAAATTATTTGATCTTGTAGAGTGATTAGTAAAACTAAATCCGACTATTGCAAGCAGTTCGAAAGAATCTATATTACCGTTTAATAAGTCTTACAAGAATTATCATCAGAAATATTACTTAACGGCATTTCCTTCCAGGGGGCAAGTGCATTGTCAAAACATTTAAAAAAAGAGGTGAAAAGGTCATATTCCTAACAAGTTTGGAAATCACTGGGTTAAGTAGAACGCTTAACGTTGAAAAATGTATATCATATTCCCACGGTTTACATGAAACATATAAAAAACAGATTTATGTGGCCTATGATATATATATATTCTCTGTATAGCGTGAGCGCCTATATTATAATATATGTTAATTTACTTTACTGTTCTATTTCAGAATGCCATGGACAGAATACGACAACAAAGCAAGAACTTCCATTTGAATGTATCGTTATTTAAGGATACGGATATTATTATTATTATTTTTTTAATTTTATAAACATTTTTCTTTTTACCATAATATATCGTCTAACAGTTTAAGTACATTTAATTTAACATTTTGAATAAAAATAAATAAACATATAAATATATAATACTGCCATAATAATTTAATATAGCTAACGAAAAGAAAGAAAAAACATTATTAATGTATTATCTATGCATACGTATGTTTCATATTTTCTACCTGTATCTAACATATATTCGACCTTAGATTTAAAGTTTAGAGTTATACGGATTATTCTGTAAAATGAAAAAGTTAAAGGTAAGCAATTTAAATGGTAACAATCAAGACATTTTTTTTTTAAAAGATTAAAATTCCACACTCATAAATTTTAAATTCATGAAAGTCCATAAGATTTATAATATTTACAGAAAAATAACAATTAATACTTCCAATAAAAAATAAAAATTTTATTCTTTGTGATACTTAAAAAATGGTAATGACTTGGTACTTGAGGAAACCAACAAAAACCAGCTACAAGTACTTAGAATTTAAAGCACTTTTTCTTTTTTTTCTTACTTACAGAAAAATTCTTGTTTGTTAAAACATTATTTGCCTATTCAATTTTGAACATATTACCATTGGTTATAAATACTATTTATAATCAATGATATGACTTATACCATATATTTTTCAAGGAAAGCAAGTTTTTTTTATTTCATAGTTTTCTATTACCATTGATTATACAATAAGTTTATTCTATAAAAATTATTTTATGGATCTACTAATATTAGTATCCCAACAGTTTCTCATAATAGATTTGATTCATTTTTATTGTAATAGTGCTAAGTTTATAGTTAAATACAACTAACAATATGGAATATTAAATACTGGCAATTAATTTATATTCATATTTTTACACTCAAACCCATAATTTAAGACTTTGATAACATTAACTCCAGCAACATGATTAAAGCTATATTTTTAGTATTTGTATTATATAATTGACAAATTTTAATTTTTAATATTAAAAATCTTTTATTTATTAATATCACTTTTTTATAAAGAACTGCACATTTTGGTATTTTTAAAATTGAAATGAATTCATGTAAAGCAGAACACTTATTAGTCATACGTATGAAACATTATTGCATCTAAAAAAGATTTAAATTGTTCTACACTAATTTAGTAATTCATAACCAACAAACACGAATTTCCAGTTATACTCTCAGATTATGTCAACTAAATATTGAGGGGATTTTTGGATCTAAATGTATTGTATTACAGAAAAACAGCAGAAAAGAACAAGATATAAGTATTGCCTCTATAGGAAACACATACAATTGATGATAATAATAATTTGTGCATATGAAATGTTGAAATTAATCCAATTTTTATGTATTTGCATGGAATAATTTTCAACAAATGTTGATCAGTTTTTGGATTAAAGCATGTTATAAACACTTTTTAATTTAAATTTAATTTAATTTCAATAATTTTCGATGGATGTTAAGCCTGTATTAATATTATTTAATGGTTGGACTAGACTTAGACTTAACTCCATGAATAGAATTCGATAAATAGCAAAAATGCCTTTAAAAGTGATTCATACTATTTTTTTAGTAATAACTAATACATTATTTTATTCAGTATCTAATTTAGAATTAAAAAAAAAATTTTAAAAAAAATTGTTGCTCTTGAATTATCTGTTAAATCATTATCATTTTCTTTATAGTCTGGTATTATCACTATGGTGATACCTAGTGTATTTTATTTTCTATACAGAGGAACGTCATAGTACGTTCAGAGAAGTTAATGGTGTAAATGTTTTGGATGTAACAGCACGCCGTCAATATCAGGTCACCGTCTGTTATCGTTTCGCTATCGGACTCACGGTGAAGCCATTGTTCATCCACCAAGATGTGGCACACAGACTTGACGGCCGCTGTTGAGAGACCATCGGTCGTCATCTGTGAGAAACCTTCAGACGGACCTACCGGTGCTTCGAAAAGTTGAGCTCCATCCTCATTACACACGATATCGGTCAGCGGTGAACAAGCTTCTACGAAACGCCCGTCGTCCTCGTTACAACCGGCCACCCGTCAGAAGGACTTACCACCGTTTCGACGAGTCGACCGCTATATTCGTTTCATCGTTGTCCTCATGCTCGTCACCCGCACACGAGTCGGCTTCAGTTTGACACGGTCCCGCTGTGGTGCAGGCACAATAAGTACACCACTATCGCGGAGCCACGCCCACTCTCTACCCAGCCTCAACCCGGGCAACGACAACACTGTTTCCGATATTACCCACCAACCTCGGAAAACCGGGCAAAGGTGGGAAAAGTTATCGGAACCGGTGGCAACGTACTGACCAGTCGCCTCAAGTCACTAACCTTTTGCTCGTGACCGTCGTCGAAGCACATCGTCCTCGTACGTTTTTTTTTGTCTTTTTTCATTACCGTCACCAAAAGACTACCAACGCCATCCACCATATTACTTATATAAGTCATTAAACAAATACAATTAGATCATCGTATCTTTTTTGGTTTCTTTTTTTTTTTGTTTGTTTAATCCACTAACTCAACTGTGACCAGCCACCTCACCGAGGGAAAATCTACCGACGACTTGAGGCCGTGTCAAGTTGTCGCACCGTCGCAGTGCACTGCAGTGCCGCGGTTGTCTACCGACCTTTTTCGGCTGCAACACTTCTTGTGCGTACGGTCGTCGTTCTTCTGTCACCGCCGTCAGTTTTTCGTCGTCGTCGGAAGATGATTCGGAATCGCTGGAATATCCGTCGACGGAGATCAAAGTCTTCGGCACATCCGTTACTTCCGGAGTGCTATTACGGTCTTCCGAACCGGTACTGATGACTATCTCAGTCATTCGGTCGGATAATTGTCTTGACAACTATAATTCATTCAGATCCTTTATCGAATCGAATATTTTTCTGTGTTCTTCGTCTATCAATTTCATCCTCAACGCTTGTTCCGTCAAAATAATTAAACCTTTAAAATGAAGGAATAATACATCATTCAGGTGTGGAGTACGATATAAATTATTCTTCATACAAATTTCCTTCAGCAAATCTACAGTTATTCTGCTCTTTTATGATTTAACAAAAATATAATGTTTATAAAACGGCAATATAATATTATATATATATATATATATATATATTATATATTTGACTAAAATCTATTTTTTTATCTATTTAACGTGCATTCATTCCGTTCGTGTAGTCACGATTATTATTGGTTTCATTTTATATAAAAATCTATTTCGTAAACGTGGCGTCATTTGGGAGGGGGGGGGCAAGGTGGCCATTTTCCCCTGACTGATTAAAAAGCATCCCAAAGGGCCGGTCAATGTCGTTTAGCCATAAGCCGTTATTTGTGAAAAATCAAGCGTATTTTTATAATTTGAAAAATACTGCGTACTAGATAATTATTTATTGCCACAATATTTGGTAATTGCCAATTGGTATAAACTATAAATAGACGCATGAAAATTTTACAAGAATATTAGATTTTTGAATGAACTTAACCATCGTTCCAGCAATTCTAGCAATGAAATCATTTTTACTTGTAATATTTTCTTATCCCCCAGTCCTGATAATTTTAATTTCAAAAATCCCTATTTATCGTCTTTCCTTAATCATTATAGTCATTTTAAAATTGATAATTTAATACTCCAAACTGAATTCTTATCTGTAAAAAACTTAAATTAATTAACTTCATTTATTCTAATATAGAACGAGACGATGGAATTCATCTTTTTTTTATTTCTAAAATTTTAAATGAACTTCCTTTTTACTAAAAATCTTAAAATTTAAATATTCTTTTAATTTTGCATGTAACAATTGCTTCCAATGAACGTTTTTTCCCCCCTTAAATTTATTAAAACCTATCTACGCTTAACAATAGAAAATGATCGGCTGAGTGATTTGTTGGTTATAGCTGTTGAAAGTGATATTGCTGCAAAAATCAGTTTAGAAGATACAGTAGATGTATTTTCAAAAATAAAAATAGAAGATATCCACTTACAGCTTAGATTAATTTAGGATTAAGTAAACCTTGTTTAGGTAATGTTTATAAAATAAAAAATTATATTTTGCAAAAATTTAAGTTGTATAATAATATAATGAATAAAATATGTACCTTAAGTATAAGTAAAAACGTGAGAGCGAAACTATATTTCTTCCGGTAGTATGGACCGGTCAAAAATGTTGCTCCCCCCAATCAAAAACTGAAATGACGCCATTGTTTGTAAACCGTTTAACACTGTAATTCACGGCTAATTGTTTCAAGAAAATACAGTTATTTTGTAGTAAAGACACTAATACAATTGGTCACATCAGAAATCATAATGTTAAGCAGCGCCTACACTAGTAAACATTTATGTTGCGCGTCGTATTCTTCGCAAATGTGTTCGTGCGGCGAATAATATGTGAGTGTGTGGATGTGGATGTGTTCGCCACATAAGCGCACACATAGATTTTCAGCGCATTCTACGCACACGACCTGCGGACCACAGGTTTTTTGCGCCGCAACATAAATTTCTACTAGTGTGGACGTGGCTTTGTACACACCGAGATAATAATCAGAGATACGGTAACGACGTGTACTAAATATTATGCTACAGAATATACTGTAACAGCTGCTACATGCGTCGTTACCTACGGTTTCCAATATGATCTATTGTACATGCGGCTAACACCAGACCACACCGAAACATCGTTTATTTTTCTATACTTCTTGAACCGTACCTGCCCAACAGCAAATTGTTCATGAAATAATAAATCGCTTTTCCAAATCAGCATTTGTCCGAACGGGCCGCGATCGTCGATTATGAGAATGGGCGTGTCAACGACGGGCCCGCATACTTGCGCTAAATACTTGAAAACATCTAACAGCGCATTCTATCGAAAATTGTACGCGTTTCACTTTTACTACGACGGCCTCTTAAAATGTTCAATTATAATGAAACATTAATTTATAAATATTTTATAAATTATTAATTTATAAATATTTTTTCACATGGTTTTCATATTATCTCTCTATATTTTGGATAAATTAGAATGCATACAAAATGATTTTTGGAAAAGAAATAAAATACATATACTTATGTACAGAAATTTACCAGGAGCATTTAGTAACAATTCAGTATTATTTCAAATAAAAACACAGTAATAATTTGTTTCAAATTGTTTTGTTATTTTTTCAGCCTTACAGTTTCAGCGAGTTAATTATTTTTCCCTAGTATTTCAGAAAAGTCTTAACAATTTTTGTCAATAATTGTCTTATTTGGTAATACGTTATTTTAGTTCACAAGCAACCCGGAAAAACATGTAATGCTATCTACCATTTTTGCATTTACATTAATATAATTATACAATAATAATAATAATTATTATAATATTATCTTCATAATCTACTTCAATTATTAGTAGGTTATGTTATAGGACTACATATATAAATATTATAATGCTCACAATAACTCATGCTACTTACACTACATATTTTCTTCTTAAATACAAATAAATTATTTACGGCCATGTACATAACCTTAATATTCCTGATCCCTCAAGTTAATAAATATCATATAGTTAATAATCTGTTATATAAAAAAAAAAAAAAAAATTGTGCATTAGCTTCCTAAAATTGTTCAGCAGAAATTATTGTATAAATTGTAAATAAATACAATAAAATATGTCGTCTATTGTATAAATGTTATACTGAATAAAGCAAATATTAAGTTTAAAGTAGGTATTAAGATAAATGATTAATATATCATAATGATTAATAATTCTTAACAAGATTAATCAATATAGTACATTATTTTATGACAAAATTAATTTTGATACATCAATAATAAACCAAACTTTACATTATTTATTATATTTAAGAGAAAAAATTGCTGAATAATTTTAGAATGTTTGGGAACTGTTCAGTTAATAATTGCAAACATTCTTTTAAACTAAATTTACATTCAATTATAGGCATTTAGTGCATTTAATAATTTAGCAATCATTATTTGTAATAATTATTACAATATTTCTTAATATTACATAATTATTATTCATTATAATATATATTTACAATACAATATAAAAAATCATGTTTACAATAATGTAAAAGTTTTTTTTTCTTGCAAAATGGACTGTGGTTTAATGTTTCAATGATATTAGAAAATACATATTTGCAAGATAAAAACCGATACAAAATTACATGGTTTTTTTTTTTAAATAAAAAACAACAATTAAAATACATTACAATAGTACATACTCATAATTTATCACAGTTTAGTTACGTCTTATACTAGTTAATGTTTGGCATAATTTGTATGTATGTCATCATACCTGTATAACTAAATTTCTTTTAAGCAAATGCTTATACAATCTAAAAGCTCGAAAGATTAACTGTGAGTAGTCATGTGATGAAAAACAATGTGGAATGAAAAACACTACTTGAACAATTATAATAATAAATAGACGACTTATTAGATTTGTACTAAAAAAAAAAAAAATAAATGATAAATATATTTATAATGATAAAAAAACCAGCTTAAATACTATGACTTAGAGTTATACATCTGTATTAGAACCCTAATTTTTTTATTTATTTATTTTTATTTTATTTATTTATAATTACATATTGCAAAAAGTGAACTACTTATAAAATTATCTTACAATTATTAAGTTAATATTATTTTATAAACAGATTTTATAGTAAAAAGGTTAACATATCTATGGAAAATTGAAGTTTTGCTCACGATTATAGGATTATTACCCTTAAGATTTAAAGTAATAAATTAAAAGCTAATTTAATTAAGTTATTGTGAGCATATTCAATAATTGGATGCATTTAAAGGTTTAAAGATTATAATTAATTAACTTGACCAAACATTTATTTTTAAAATATATTAACAGAAAAAAAGGAAAACCTCAGTCAAATATGAAATTTTCAGTTTGTAAATATTTAAAAAAAAAATCATAAAAAATATATAATTTTATTTTACATTAATTTTTTTAAATTATAATTAAAGTTCAATAATTTATTGTGACATGTAGCTAGTAAATTTTTAAGGCACAATTTAGGTTTTAACAAATTTAATAATATTTATATAATCTATTTATAATAAATAAATGGAATAATACGTTTTGTTTTAAATGCATCCAATTAAATTTTAAATTTAAACGCGGGAGAAAGATTATTAATGTATATGGTGCTGATGATAGGGAGATCTATGTTAGGAACAGAATGTGATTTTAAAATTTAAATAAGGATATACTGAATTGAGTCTTTTTCACTACTACTACACAAAGTTATGTTGTTATTTAAATATATAATTGATAACAATGTCTCTTTTTACAATTTTTTTAAGATAATTATTTGTTAATCTATATTTTCAATGTGAGAAATTAAAACAATCTATACTATAATAAATAATATAAAAAAAAAAAAAAAACAGGCAGTCATTCTAATTATGAATATGGAATAGAGCAGTGAAAAAGTATATTTTTTGATGTAACAGACTGATAATTAATCAGAATACATCAAAATTGAAAATAATAAAGTTAACTAAATTGAATATTGTATTATTTTTGGTGAAAAGAAATATAAATAAAAAAAATTTTCTAGTAATTTAAGTTTATAAGATGTATGTGCCTGTACTAACATTAATTAAATGTTTTGCTAAAAATGTTTATCTAATAACCTGTCATCTTATTGCTACATTTTTCATTAACATAAAATATTTAATAAATTAGAAAATAAAATCATAATAAGACTTAAAATTTTGAATATATTAAATGCTATATGTTTGGTTACAATTAAGTTGACAACCTATTTTCCAAGACTAGTAATTTTTTTTAATCAATAAGTTGGAAGCTCATTATTTATTACAAAAAGATAAAACAAATAGTAATATAATAATAATGATAAAATTCTGAGTTGGGAAATAAGTCAAAAGGTAGTAGTCAATTGTTCAAAATATAAAATTTTATTATACTTCATTAAGTTGTCCTGGAATATGTTGTTTGCGTGCATTTGGATCAAAACCATTTGTTCCATCTGGACCCAATGGTTGACGAATTACTATTAATTTTGGAGAACCATCATCTTTTACAGAAATGGTGCGTATGCGATTAATCAAATGTTCTGGTCGTTGAGACGGTTGTTTAGGTGGAGAATTCTCAGCAGAACTAATAATAAAAAATTGAAAATTAAGAAGATTCTTAAATCAAAATTTACATTTATACTTTTATGGTAACTGTAACTATTAATAAAAATATAAATTGTGAAAGATTTTAATACTAACCTTATTTTAGTAACATTACAACCAGAAGATTTGCCTGACCTTTGATTAACAACTAATACAAACTCCACTAAATCGCCTTGGTGCAACTTAATTCCATCAGTTACTTCAGAAATATGGAAAAAAAGTTTCTTACCACCTTCAACTTCATACGTTAAAAACCCAAAATATCCTAAAAATATTTAAAATTATACATAAACATGAATAAATATTTTAATATAAGCACACCTTTAATTGTATCAACATGAGCTCTTTGTTTTTTTCTTATTGCAATTATATTTACAGCTCGATTTTTAGAATCTACTTGAAATTGAACTGGATCACCAACTTGTAATAATTCTTTTTTATTTATTAAACCTTTTATTCCGAATTCATATTGTAAAATATTTTCTTCTTCGGCTACAAATATAATAAATACATAAACATATTTCTCATTCCAAAGTATAAAAAAAGAAACTTACTTGTTGGTACTTCTTGTATTATGCCAGCATATTCAGTTTGATCAGGATTTACAGATCGTAATGGACGAGATACAACACCATCCAAAATAACATTTGGTTGAAGTAATTCACAATTATCATTAATAGTGCCAGGAGGCAATACTCTGACATTTTCAGCTGATGCACAGCTTCCACCTCCATTTCCTGTATTTCTTGTACTAACGGTATATTCTACTTCCATACCAAGTTCAAGAGATGAGCTTGGTTCATTCAAATTTCTAAATTGTAAATTATGATTAAACTACAGTATAAAATAAAAATAACTGTTTCTACATACGCATATCTAAAAAAAACTTCAGAATCAAGAGCAATAGTTTCAATAAATCCAAACCCATCTTTAAGTGCTGCAATATAACCATATTTAAGATCATCAGATGTATGAGTATTGTTTACCGGATGAATATTCATTGCAATTAATTCTTTATTTCGTTTAATTTGATAAAGATTAAATTTTACCTAAAATACAATATCAAAATAACAAAATAACTGTTAAACAACTAATTTTAGTATATATTATTACTTTATCTCCTTGTTTTGGTATATATTTTCCATTGCAGTCCTTTATATTATACAATATTGTTCTCTTAACACTACTTGAATGCAAAGTGATAACCCCGGGTTCAAAGGTGACATCATCAAACTGTTTAAAAAATAAAAAAAAAATATAAGGAATATTTTCAAAGTACATTATTTGAGTAAACTCTTCTTTAAAAATATAAATACTATAGAGTGTTTTAATAAGAACGCAAGATTTAAATCTGCTATAAATTTTATTTATCAGGTGCGCAACTAAGTTCCCGCTGTTTTTCAGATGAAAATGTAACTTTAATGTGAAAAAATGGTTACAAATGAATCATCCAAAGTATTGCACATCGTTAGCTACAACTTTTCCCCATCTTTCTGGGAAAGCTCGAATACCATCACGATAAAAGGGTTCATCTTTCGAGGCTATCCACAAATCAAGCCATTTTTCGATGTCTTCATATGAGTGGAATTGCTGATGAACCAGAAAATGTGCCATCGACTGAAATAAGTGATAATCAAACGTCGCAATATCTGGGGAATATGGCGGGTGGGGTAGGACTTCCTATTTCAGCGTTTCCAGGTAGGTTTTAATGGGTTTGGCAACATGAGGACAAGCGTTGTCATGTTTTAGAATCACTTTATCGTGCCTCTGCTCGTATTGTGACCGTTTTTCGCGCAATGCTCGGCTCAATCGCATCAATTGAAGTCCATACCGTGCCCCATTGATGGTTTCACTCGGTTTCAACAACTCATAATAAATAACACCGAACTGATCCCACCAAATACACAGCATAACCTTCGCAGCATGAATATTCAGCCGAGGCAACGTAGAATAAATGACCGGGCAGTTCCCATGACTTCCTTTTATTCGGGTTGCTATAATGGATCCATTTTTCATCACCCGTTACGATGCGATGAAGAAAACCTTCCTTTTTTGCCGCTGAAGCAGTTGTTCACAAGCAAAAAAAACGACACTCAATGTCCCTTGGCTTCAATTCATAAGGAATCCAAGTTCCTTGTTTTTGAATCATTCCCAACGCATGCAAACACTTGGAAATGACTTGGCGGGTAACTCCTAATGCTGAAGAAAGCTCCACCTGCGTTTGGCACGGATCCTCATCGAGCAATGCCTCCAAATCAGCCTCCTTGAAGGTTTTTGGCCTTCCCTCACGCGGACGGTCATCAACAGTGAAATCACCATCAAACCAATCACAGCATATTGTTTCACTCAAAGCAGTATCCCCATAAACTTTTAGGAGCTCTCGATGCGCTTCAGCCACTGTTTTCTTCGAATGAAATAAGAAGGTCAACACTTCCCGCAAATGACGCCAAAACAAAATCACTGATGTGTCAAAGCAGCTTGTTTACAATATGTATAAGCTTGATTCATGACGTTTTGGTAATGTCAAAATCGACCAGCACTTAGTGCTGGCGCTTTCTATTGACAAACAGCGAGAACTTAGTTGCACACCTAATATTTCTTTTAAAAAAACATATCATTCTCTTCAGAAGTTAACGTTTAACAGTGAAAAACAATATCGGGCCCATGACCCTCCCTACTAGCGCTATAGGCAATTATTCTTTCCATAAAATTTACTTTCACTTAATAACACATTCCCTCATGACGTGACAAGTTGAAACCAAACATTTTTGGTATTAATTTAGTCCAAATACGGCCAAAGAAAATTACTGAGCTCAGAAGGTATTCATCTATGGTTACAACAAGACTGCACAACGTATTACACTTCAAGAGAAACAATCACTTTGCTGCGTGAGAAGTTCCTGGACAGACTAATCTCGTTTCGTGATCAAAGATACCCCAACTCGATTTTGTGACTTGACACCGTGTGATTTTTTTCTTATAGGGATATACTAAGTCAGTGTTTCCCAACTGGTATTATGCGGAACCTAAGGGTTCCGTGAGCTTGAGCGAGAAATTTGGGAAAATATAAATTAATTAGCAATATTTTGATTTGAACATAGAACTCAATATAGAACTGGAATTGACACATTTCCCGATGTGTAGTGCATAGTTTGTAGCTTTTCGGCGTATACAAAGACTAAGAATAAGTTTCAAAATCAACTAAACGCGGCTCCGGACTTACGAATCCAACTTTCAGGAATAACTCTAAATTTAAAAACAGTTATGAAAAGATTCCAATCTTCTCATTGAATCTATCTTAGAGATAATGAAAGATAAATATTAAATTTTAAGCTTTGATATGTACGAGTACATTTATAATATTGTAATAGTAATAAACAAAATAAAATGTTAAAGCAGTCTTGTTTTTTTTATATTAATGACACTCTTGTGCCGGAAGTGTCCGGTAACCCACTCATTTATGTATACAAAACATATGTCTGTATTAATATTATAGAAGAAATATTGGGGTTCCACAAAACGTTCAATCTCTTGCTAAGGTTCCGCGGGTAAAAAAAAGTTGGGAAACACTGTACTAAGTTACAAATTTACCAGAACAAAGTTGTCTTGGAACTTAAACAAGAAATTAGTCGTGTCCTCAATGAACTTGATGGAGCAATGTGTTATCCAGTGATGGTCAATTTTATGAAAAGAATAATCGCCTGTAGGGCTAGTAGGAAGGGTCATAGGCCCGATATTGTTTTTCATTACATTCTTATATTGGAGGATCCAATTTTACTTTGTTTAAATGAGGAGAACATTATCTGTAATGCTATATTTTTATGTTAACCTCAACATAAATAAATTTTATTTTATTTTTATGTTAACATTTATATAATTTTAAGCTTATGGTTTAGTTAAAAAAAATATAGAGATGTTATTGAAAAATTAAAACTATGGATTTTGTTTTTTTTTTTTTAAAAAAAAAAAAAAGTAAAAAAAGCACTAAAATTAAATTACACCAAATGCTTATGTCCCGTACAATATAATTTAATAAAAAAAATCAGATAAATGATTAATTTATTTATGGATCTATAGACACAATCACACAATAACATTTATGAAGCTATGCTGAAAACTAAATCATCATTGACCTACAGAGCTATACTCAGGGAACACTTTTGAGTATCACATTCTTTAAATTTGTAATATTAATCAAGGTTATTATATATGAATTTTAAAAATAATGTTAATATCTTCAGCTCTGTACAATGGTTTCTATACAGCAAACAGCTATTCATGTTAATAATTTTATACATAAAGATATTTAACTGTATAATTTATACAATTTATACTATTTATAAGAATATGATACAATAACTTAACATTTTGAATAACATGAAATCAAAAATAGCAACAACAAAATATGCAAACAACTTTTTTGGCTTAAATTTTTTTTTGAACATATTAATCTGTCTTAAACTGAATCAAATAAAAACCATCAGAGAACCCATTTGGTTAACATTATTTAATAAATAATAAAGAATTTATAAAATACTAATTATAACTTACATGATTACTGTTTTTTGAAGGACTTGATGGTTCAGATAACTCAGTAGCCACAACTGTTACCACACCAACTAATCCTTCTTCAATTAGTAATTCAAATTGAACTGAACCTCGTGGTAAGTGTTTAATTCGTATGGCACTCTGTCTAGAATTTCCAAATGAAGATGAAGGATCCTAGACAAATAAAAATCCATACAATATTATCTGATTAAAATTTAATTATTAACATTAAAATAATTAAATAATAAAAAAATTAATTTAAAGTTAATACTTGTAAATTAATAAATAAATAAATAAACAAATAATTTATACATAAAAATAAATAAAAACTTAGTCTAGGGACCTACTTTTGAAATTTTTCAAATTTAACAAAAATAGAACTCAATCAATTCGTGTTTATTGGTATTCTCAAAATAAGACTTGACATTACTCGCATGAAAAATGTTCAATATTTTGTTTATTGCCTATTTCAACTTCGATATAATTAATTCAAATGATTTTTTTATTTGCTTATTGGCTAGCGTCATAGATTCAAAATATTTATAAACATTAAACTACAGAATAGTCATTAGTAATTTCACTTTGTAATTTTTCATTTACATTACATTTATATTTCGACATCTAGTTACTAGTTAGTTTTTAAAAAAAGTTGAATTATAAAATAACTATACAAATGGCAAATGATTATGAACAAGGTGTGATATTTTTTATGTTAATCTTCGAGAGATCTGAGGAGCCCTGCAAAATGTTAGACAACCGTTAAAGGTTAAAGGAAATCCTTTTTTGGCATTTTCGGATACAGGATTTGTCAAAACTTACAGATTGAGTAAAAAATTGACAAATTATTTAATTGAGTTAGTCACTCCATTTATAGAAGTATTAGAATGGCATTGGAGAATAGCCTTTAGTAGTCAACTACGATAAAATCGATAAAGTTTACTCATATGCGACTTCTTGTTGTTCGATTTCGAAAAGGCCCCTGGAGTATTATTAATTTTGTTAAGTATAACTAGTTTTTAATTAATAATTAATCATCAGGTATATACAAAGTATATAAAATTTGGACTAAATATGAAAAATTTAAAATCGCAACTGAAATAAATAAAACTGTTAACTTTAAAACTGAAAAAGTTGCAATTAATTGTTTCATATTCAGTTTTAAATTTATCAACATTGTATATACCTATTGATGGACTTTGAATTAAAAACCGGTCATACTTTACAAATATAATAGGACTCCAGGCTAAGCTTTTATTTATTTCTATACATAAACTATTTTTGTCTTTTTATGAATTAAAAACTAAATTAACCACACTAAACAAACAATATTTTATGTTACTAAAATGTATTTACAACCAAATAATAATACCTGAGCTACAGTAAATTCCACTTCATCATTGCATTCCAATTTTCTTTGAACTTCCAAGACTTCATTAAATGTAAAATAAATTTTGGGTTCTCTTTCAACAGATCGTAAAAATCCAAATCCTTGTTTCAAAACTGCAATAATACCTTGTTCTCTTCTTTCACCAGACACTACAAAAGATTCTGGTAACAATGAAATATTAGTAGCCCGTTTTAACTGATCCCGTCGATCAGTTGCTATTCGAAATTCAACCCAATCACCATGTCTGAATAATAAAAAAAAATAAAAAATATATTATAATATATAAAAATAACGGAAAAAGGAATACAAAATAATCATTTTTTTATAATAAAAATTATATTTAACATACCTTAATGTAAAATCACCTTGTTGATCTTTTTCGCCAAATGAAACTTCAACTTCCGAATAATCTGGTGCTCTATAACGTATGCGTCCTGGCAACGGTTCAGAAGGTAAATGATTTTGAGGGTTCTTGTCTAAAGGTTTTAAAACTTGACCTTTCATAACAGTGTCATCAATATCTTCAAATATAACTGAACCAGGAGGCAAGCGTTCAATATTACATGCAACTTCTTTCCCCTGATTAATATAAATATTTAAAAATAAATACAAATTTAAATATATAATTTGTTAATTAAATGAATAATGAAATAATAAATAAATGAATTCTAATGCATGCTTAATTTCACTATTATCTCATTAAAAAATAATTTATGTATATTATCATTTATTTTAAAAAAAATATAAATATATTTCTTTTACTAAATAAAGAATAAGACTAAACTTCATTTAGTCAAGTTTAAAAAAAAAAAAACCACAATAAGTCTAAGTTCAAAAATGTACTAAATATTTTTTTTATACATAAAATATATTAAAAAACACAGAGTTTATAATAATTATAATAATTCTACAAATTTATTATTTTTTTTTTTTTTATAAACTAAGATATCAAAAATTATTTTGATACTAAAAATATTTACAAGTCAGTAGTGACATTCTTTATTAAAATGTAATTATGATAAAAATTTTAAATTCATACACGCACGTACACTCAAACACTCAAACACACACACACACACACACACACACACACACACACACACACACACA